CCATTTTTACCATAGATATGCTTTAACTTTATTATCACGTATGGCAATAGGGGTATTGAGATGTGGTGCTACGGTGTACCTAATCATTTTTATTTTTTTTTCAAAAATATGGTAAGGAATACAGTTTCACATTCACTGAACAGTAGAGTAATACAGGGTGAAACACAGAGCAAGATTTAAGTCATCCATCATATAAAGAACCATAAAGAATATGTCCCGACAGAATCCAGACTGCTAACCAAGATGTAGGAGCAAAAAGGCCGGCTACAGACAGTTCAACAGGGACCAGCTGAGATTCAAACCATGTATGGACAGGTTGAATATACCCAAGTTGATTGATTGAGCAATTTGGGCACAACCAGCCTGCCAGGTTTTACATATGATTATCTCTAGTGGCTGGTATGGCTGCTAACAATAAACTGTCTTCTCCTGGCAGGAATAGCTCTCCCCGCCCCCAGCCGGGAGAATACAACAGCACACAGTTTACCCTTTGATCGCCCCACATGTTAACACCTTCCTGCCCACTGCCATTAGCTAATAAAAAGCACTGATCACTGTACTGATGTCACTGGGGATGTAAGTAACACCAAATCAGTTCCCCCCCAGTGTCAGGATGCCCGCCGCAGTCCCACTATAAGTCGCTGATCGCCGCCTTTACTATTTAAAAAAAAAAATTCCAGTATCTATACCAGGGGTGGGCAAACTTTTTGACTTGAGGGCCGCAATGGGTTCATATATTGGACCCGGGGGCCGGACCAAGAAGATGAATGATGTGTATGTGTCATCCATAGTAAGTATAGTAATATTCCCCCATAGTAAGCATAGTAATTAATCCCCCATATAAATTCATCCCCCATAGTAATTCATCCCCCATATAGTATTTCAATCCCCCATATAGTAATTCATCCCCCCATAGTAATTCATCCCCATATAGTAATTCATCCCCATAGTAATTCATCCCCCATAGTAATTCATCCCCCATATAGGTAATTCATCCCCCATAGTAATTCATCCCCCATATAGTAATTAATACCCCATATAGTAATTAATCCCCCATATATATTCATCCCCATAGTAATTCATCCCCCATATAGTAATTCATCCCCCATAGTAATTCATCCCCCATAGTAATTCATCCCCCATATAGTAATTCATCCCCCATAGTAATTCATCCCCCATATAGTAATTCATCCCCCATAGTAATTCAATCCCCCATATATAGTAATTCATCCCCCATAGTAATTCATCCCCCATATAGTAATTCATCCCCCCTATAGTAATTCATCCCCCCTATAGTAATTCATCTCCCATAGTAAACACATCCCCCATAGTAATTCATCCCCCATATAGTAATTCATCCCCCATATAGTAATTCATCCCCATATAGTAATTCATCCCCCATAGTAATTCATCCCCCATATAGTACATCCCCCATATTAATTCATCCCCCATATTAATTCATCCCCCATATTAAGTCCCCAAGTCCCCCTGTGTCAATTCACTTACCTTTGCTGCGCGTTTTACTCTCGCCGTGTTCCCGTGCTGTTCCGGCTGTAGCATGATAATTCTGTCTCCTATGAGGATCTGCCCCCCTCGACGTATCTGCGCATGTGCCAGTTTCAGATTAGCAGCCGATCGGCGATCTCCGGCACATGCGCAGATACGTTGAGGGGGACAGATCCTCATAGGAGACAGATTTTCATGCTACACCGGTCTTCAGGGCGGACTGTGAGAGGAGCCTAGCGGGAGCCTAGCTCCGCGGGCCGGATTAAAAGGTCCGACGGGCCGTATACGGCCCGCGGGCCGTTTAGTTTTGCCCATTCTGATCTATACCGTCATTTGTAAACGTTATAACTTTTGCGTAAACCAAATAATTTACACATATTGGGAATTTTTTTGAGCAAAGACATGTAGCAGAATACATTTTGGCCTAAATTTATGATGAAATTAGATTTTTTAAATTTTTTTACTGGACATGTTCAATAGCAAAAAGTCAAAAGTTTTTTTTCAAAATTGTCGGGTTTTTTTGTTTATAGCGCAAAAAATTAAAAACGCACAGGCAATCAAATACCACCGAAAGAAAGCTCCTTTTGTGGAAAAAAAGGACGTAAATTTAATTTGGGTGCAGCATTGCATGGTCGCACAATTGTCAGTTAAAGTAACCCGATGCCGTATCACAAAAAATGGCCTGGCCAGGAAGGGGGGTAAATCCTCTGGAGGGTAAGTGGTAAATGTTTTTCTTAACATACATGCAGTAATGTTCTCCAATCAAAAAATAAAACCCAAATATTAAACCCCAATACACCAAAGGCCAAATAAAAAAACACCCAAAAAGCAAAAATGAGGGGGGGGGGGGTGGTTTCGCAGGCAGCAGGTAAAAAGCAACTGAAGTTGTTGCTGACACAAGCAAAAATGTATCTCTCCTGGCTTATCCCTCCACACTCTACACATTTAGTAGAATGTAGTATCATAGAAATAACAGCCACAAAACCCCTATCCTCATTGTAGGTATGTTGGCAACTTTTACTTTATATATTTGAATGGTAGGCAACCTATAATACAACCTAGGTGATGTATGTGAAGGGGAAAAAAAAGAACCAATGAAAATGTCTGACTGTGTTTTGAGTCATAAATCATGTCCACCCCATATGGTCATCATTTTTCGGAGTGCGACAGATCTATTCATTATCCCCAAATTAATAAAGTATAATCCCACAAACAGCTGTTTAAACTTAAAATAAAAAGCAAAGCTGCCCACACCTATACACTCAAATGTGCTCAAAACCACAAATAACACAATAACTGTGCTGCGCTTTCCTTACAGCATCAATTCAAACCATTCAAATGTGACCTCAAATTCCCAACAAAAAAATGTATAAACTTTAAAATGTGACATTTAACAAGTCACAATTGTTCAATAAATGCTTCTCAATATTTCTTCTTTAAAATCACTATATAACTACTTCTTTCCCAATATTAATCCATGTCTTCTTAATCTTAACATGTGAACCTCCACCACCAATACTCCAGATTTGCCCCCACCTGGAGTATTTGACCTCACATAAAAGCTTGGTCAAAAAACGCTTGCGTCCCTTAGGATGGACATAAGATTATGATTTTCTCTTGGATAGGAGTCTTCCTTCACTGATGAACAGCCTTCTTATTACAAATCTTCCTCCTCTGCTCAGCATGCATACAACATATATAAAATCTTCACTGACTGAGTTAGACACCAGCACAAAACCGTTGTATATAGGGAAATGGGAAAGAGATTTGGGGGTGGTAATAGATGAGGGGAAGCAGAAGAAAATATATAGATTAATTCATGAAAATATAAGTATGCGAGAGGTGGAAATAAATTACAAGTGTTTGATAAGATGGCACATTACACCGAAAGTTGAACATAAAAAGAATGGGGTGAATTCACCATTGTGTTGGAGGGGTTGTGGAAAGATAGGCACGTTGTATCATATATGGTGGGAGTGCCCAAAAATACAAGTATTTTGGAAAAAAAAGTAGTTCACTTAGTGAGGAGGATTACTGAAATCAGCGTTAGATTAGACCCAGAGATCTGTCTTTTCCATAATACGGAGTTATCAGTGAAATTATATAAGGATTCAGGTATATGGTATTTTTTAAGTGCAGCAAAGGGATTGATACCCAGGTTCTGGTGAAAAAAGGATGTGCCGACGGAAGAGGATTGGGTAGTTAGAGTGAATCAGATTTGTGAGATGGAGAAACTTTATTATATGCATTTAGAAAATGGGGACATATGTGAAATGGAAAAAATGGGAAGAGTTTAATGTGAAGGTGAAATATATGAAGATATATCTATATAGACAGGGAGAGGTGGGAAAACGCAGAGTGGGTGGATGGGAGTGTGGGGGGAAGGAGAGAGGGAGGGGAATAGAGACATTTAGGGAGATATAATTATTGTAGTAAAGTGATATTGTTTCTCTTTTTTATTGGAGAAAATTATTGTAAAATGAATTTTGTTGAAAATCAATAAATATTTTTAAAAAAAAAAAAAGCATGCATACAACAAAAAATATATAGGCAAAACAATAGTGCTTTATCCTAAAACCACTTGTTTATTAAATTTAAAAAATTAGCAACCCACATGGTACAGGTGTTCAATCGCATCAAATATCATACACATGGTAATATATAGCTGGCACATGAGCGCCATATATATATATATATATATATATATATATATATATATATTATATTGCCAACGTTATTGGGGCACCCCTCAAAATCATTGGATTCAGGTGTTCCAATTACCTCCATTGCCACAGGTGTATAAAATCAAGCACTTTGGCATGCAGACTGCTTCTACAAACATTTGTGACAGAATGAGTTGCTCACAGTGGCTAGAGGGGGGCCCCACTATTCAACACATATCAGAGGGGTCAGGTAGGATCAGAGCTTGGAGCTCTTTAGAATGAAACAGGAAAGTATAACACTGTTTCATTTACAAGGAAAAGGCTGATGTTAACTTTGTAGCCCCAGACAGGGTCATTATAAGTAGGGAATCACACAGCAGGTAAACTATGGTGCCCATTTATAAGAGAGGGCAGATATTGCTGTTATCTGTTTGACACCAGGAATACATGCACTTCATACACATCTAACTCTTCAGTGTCCTTGACACCACTGAGATGTGCACCACAGCATACACAACTCATTTTCTAACATCCAACAAACAAATGAGATTTGTCCCCAGTAGACACACCTCACTCTCTACCATCCTTGGCACTAGTAACATTTCTGCCAAAGCACACATAACTTATTTGCCAGTACCCATGTCACCACTTATGTACACACTCCAGAACAAACAGCTCAGTCCTTAGTATCCATGTTATCACTGATATCTGAAACTGCACAACACATACACTATATTGCCAAACATATTGGGACACCCCTCCAGAACATTGGATTCAGGTGTTCAAATCACCTCCATGGCCACAGGTGTATATAAAATCAAGCACCTAGGCATACAGACTGCTTCTACAAACATTTGTGAAAGAATACCGTGATATGTTGTGACCTGTGCAATAAGCCCATCCGTGACATTTCCTTGCTACTAAATATTCCACGGTCAACTGTTAGTGGTATTATAATAAAGTGGAAGCAACTGGGAACAACAGCAACTCAGCCATGAAGTGGTAGGCCACGTAAAATGACAGAGCGGGGTCAGCGTATGCTGAAGCACACAGGGTGCAGAAGTCACCGACTGTCTGCAGAGTCAATAACTAAAGGCCTCCAAACTTCATGTGAACTTCAGAATAGCACAACAACAGTGCATAGAGAGCTTCATGGAATTGGTTTCCATGTGTGCTACATTTCCCTTTCTCTTCCTCTTTCAGTGCCTAATAAATAGTTATCCTTTCCTCCTTTTCCCTCTCATGGTTTGACAAAAGAGCAATTGTGTTACCACCCATCACGGTTTTGACGTCAATGCATTCAGATGTCACTTCTGATTCCGGTCCTAGTGCTTGCTTGCGTTCCAGTGTGGCTATATTTGCTGCTGGAGGAAGACACAGCCTGTCATATGGACTTAATCTGCATTCTGACAGAGTCCAGCTGTATTCCACCTATACTGCAGAGCTGTCTTTCAAGATGCATCTCATCCATCCATCCACTTTCCACCGAGGACTGATAATATGCCCATTTACTCTCATCCTTGTGAGTGTATTTTAACCCTTTCCTTTACTTGTTTTTAATTAAATTGATACACTTAGATGGCGGTGCCTTCTGTTTGTTTATTGTTTTAGTGCACAGAGACATCCAATACCCTGTTAGAGGAGGTGCCACCATTATAGAAGTGGATTAACACACCTGGATTTACCATGCAGAGGCTACGGCTTCTTGCTTGAGACCTAATGTTTTTTGGGAAAGGGTTAAAACCTGTCACCCTTTATTGTCTGTGTGCCCCAGGGGGGTGATTACTCTTCACAGTACACATCACATACAATACACAAATGCTTAGAAGGATATAAATTGACATTAATAGAATTGTGTAATTGCAAAAAATATTCATCCACAATCATGATACATGACAAGGGGTATTATATTTTTCATATTTGTTTAGTTGTACCAAGTTTTCTTCCATTTCATTCCTGTATTCCCGATCATGCACAGTGTTTGGACCTTGGCTATTGAACACCATGCTAATCGTAAGATTATCGGTAGATGTGTTATCTGCCAAGAAAAATATTTGCTCTTGCAAAAAATTTCGGATGAACTGTTGTCATCAGCTCTCAAAAGCTGTGTACTGACGATCAGATTATTGCTCTGAAATCATTTTATTTCTTTGAATTTCTAATCATGTGTACTCAATTTAGAATGAAAGGGATTATCTTTCCCTACAAACATTATGGCATCTGTCCCTTTCTACTTCATGTCTACTCAAACACACACACCCAGTTCAGAAAGCCAGGAAATGCATTGTTATTAATTGTTGCAATACACCAAATGGATACAATAATTTTCCATTTTGTAGAACTATGACCAATTTGGCTTTAGGTTGAATCCAAAGCTCAACCCTAGCATAGAGTTCAGGAAAGCCTCCTGAAACTAGGAAGTATTGAATCTAAAGCACAAATTAGCAGAGTGGTCATCTGGGTTGAGCATTGGTGTGTGAATTGCAAGTGGCAAAAACAAAATTACAAATGCTATGGCAGATATATCCAAAAGCAGAGGTGGTGGCTGCATTTGTTTGTTTTTTTTTTTTCATCTTATGATCCTGCATATAACACAAACTTTGTTCTGGGGTTACAATGCTCATTCACTGTACTGGCTCTACTGAAGGCCTTTGTTGACCCCCAGAACAAAATTACAGAATACTTCCCCTCTCCTCATCTCTATACCACGATGAGGGGGCATTTTTACAATGTAATACATTCACTCTAACAAAACTTAAGTTTACCTTTCCTGTGACACGTAGGATATGTGATCACTCCTGCATTGCATTTTACAATAAGGTTTTTAAGGTCTGATGTTTCATGTCTAGAAATGCATTCAAACTCAATTCGCTCATTGTGTTTAACATACTGCATTTGGTAATTCTTTACTTGTATATTGTGTTGTTGCATTTTGTAACGCAATACACTGCATGGGCCTGTAATATAATAAAGATACAATTAAAACTTCAAACCATACGTGTCTGTATCAGACCTATGGGTTCTGTATGAAAACAAAAGGAAGAAACTTAAAGATTTTTGCTTGAAGCCAAGAGTCAAAATTTGAATGTCTTATTGAAATGTACCATCCTTTTACCTCTTTATACAGTAGTCATCTATCCAGCTAGTTATGATTTGTGGCTGATTTTTGCTTGAAAATACTTAAAATATCCTTTTTTTCAATGAGAGATCTGCTCCTTGCTTTTAGGCTAGGTTCACACTAGCCCATACTGTGCATTCTGCTCTTGCGAGACGCATGGGCCTGCCATTCATTCTGAATGGCGCCCCGCACACATCTCAGCCAGCAGCACGATTGCGGGTGTGGGAACCGCAGGGAAACTGCATGGTCAGAAAGACCATGTGTTTTCCCTACTGCCGCATTTTCAAGAGAAGACACGCGGCACAGCAGCCCATTCAAACGAATGGGCTGCTGTGTCCGAACAAACGCAGGCTGCACAGCCAACACTAGTGTGCCTCAGACATTAATTTGTATCTTAAAGTAGGAATATAGGCACTTTTTTAAAATTTTTATTTTGGTAGAGTAAGGGAGGATTGTGAACTATCCGTTTTTTTACCATCTGTGTTCCCTTTGGGAAGATTTCCCTTCACTTCCGTTCCCATAACCACAAAGGGAAGTGAGAACAAATCCTTCCAAAGGAAAGATTTCCCTTCTATTCCTGTTCTGGTGGCAACCCAAAATTTTGAGATTTTCCTTCATTTTTACTCTTTGTGATAATAGTAAACAGGACTAATAGGGAGGATGAATCTTCCGATTTCTCTCCATTCTTTCCAAAACCAAAAAAAAAATATCTTCCTTTAGTTATACATTAAAGAATATGTTACTTCAACATTTCATATTTCTGGTATGTGCCTTCTGTACTATGTATGTGTATGGAAAAGTATTTTTGCTCTCCTTTTGCATTACTTCCTTTGTGTGAAATATTTGGTGTTCCTGCTAGTCGCTCTGCTTTCCAATTTAAAACTGACAACACTAGACATGAGAGCACAGCAGTTTTCTGACTGTTCTGGGACCTCAGCCTGCTCCCTTTCAATGATTAGACTTGTGCTGACATGATTCCCCTTGCACAGTCATTCACTAGGAAGACTAGAGTGCTGCCATTTCTTCACCCGTAGCTCTTTGAGCTCCTTATGCAGCTGAGAACAGGGGGTATGTGATTACCCGTATTTTTCACTCCATAAGATGCACATGACCATAAGACGCACCTAGGTTTAGAGGAGGAAAACAAGAAAAAATATTCTGAACCAATGGACTGCAGATATAGTACAGGAAATGACCAGAGACTGCGGACACAGTACAGGAAATGACCAATGACGGCAGACAGAGTACAGGAGATAACCAGAGACTTTGGACATACTACAGCAGATGACCAGAGACTGTAGACATACTACAGGAGACGACCAGAGACTGCGGACATAGTACAGGAGATGACCAGAGACTGCGGACATAGTACAGGAGATGACCAGAGACTGCGGACATAGTACAGCAGATGACCAGAGACTGCAGAAATAGTACAGGAGATGACCAGAGACTGCGGACATAGTACAGGAGATGACCAGAGACTGCGGACATATTACAGGGGATGACCAGAGACTGCAGACATAGTACAGCAGATGACCAGAGACTGCGGATATAGTACAGCAGATGACCAGAGACTGCGGACATAGTACAGGAGATGACAGAGACTGCAGAAATAGTACAGTAGATGACCAGAGACTGCGGACATATTACAGGGGATGACCAGAGACTGCGGACATAGTACAGCAGATGACCAGAGACTGCAGAAATAGTACAGGAGATGACCAGAGACTGCAGACATAGTACAGGAGATGACCAGAGACTGCGGACATAGTACAGGAGATGACCAGAGACTGCGGACATAGTACAGGGATGACCAGAGACTGCGGACATAGTACAGCAGATGAAAAGAGACTGCGGATATAGTACAGCAGATGACCAGAGACTGCGGACATAGTACAGGAGATGACCAGAGACTGCAGAAAAATAGTACAGGAGATGACCAGAGACTGCGGACATAGTACAGGAGATGACCAGAGACTGCGGACATAGTACAGGAGATGACCAGAGACTGCGGACACAGTACAGGAGATGACCAGAGACTGCGGACATAGTACAGGGGATGACCAGAGACTGCGGACATAGTACAGCGGATGACCAGAGACTGCGGATATAGTACAGCAGATGACCAGAGACTGCGGACATAGTACAGGAGATGACCAGAGACTGCAGAAATAGTACAGGAGATGACCAGAGACTGCGGACATAGTACAGGAGATGACCAGAGACTACGGACATAGTACAGGAGATGACCAGAGACTGCGGACATATTACAGGGGATGACCAGAGACTGCGGACATAGTACAGGGGATGACCAGAGACTGCGGACATAGTACAGCAGATGACCAGAGACTGCGGAAATAGTACAGGATATGACCAGAGACTGCGGACACAGTACAGGAGATGACCAGAGACTGCAGACATAGTACAGGAGATGACCAGAGACTGCGGACATAGTACAGGAGATGACCAGAGACTGCGGACATAGTACAGGGGATGACCAGAGACTGCGGACATCGTACAGGAGATGACCAGAGACTGCGGACATAGTACAGGAGATGACCAGAGACTGCGGACATAGTACAGGGGATGACCAGAGACTGCGGACATAGTACAGGAGATGACCAGAGACTGCAGACCTCTGGGGAGCGGAGGGGGGGAGCGGGTACCTGAATTCGACAGGTACCCGCTCCCACTTCCGTGGAGTTGTCCTCCCTCCCTGTCTTCTGGGACACATGACAGGTCCCAGAAGACTGCCAGGACCATTCACAAAGTGCAGTGCTTCTCACGCATGTGCAGTGGGCACCCAGCTGTGAAGCCACAAGCTGTCACAGCTGGGTGCCCACACTAAAGATGCCGGCACCAAGGAGAGAAGACGGTGAGGACACCGCTGGACCAAGGAACAGGTAGGACCGAGGAGCAGGTTCTACTGCACAGAAGAGCAGAGCGGCTGGCCCGGTATTCTAACACAGCGGCAGCGGGGATACCTGGCCGTTCACTCCATATTTGCTCCGTAAGACGCACAGACATTTTCGACCATTTTCTGGGGGGGGGGGGGGGAATGCGTCTTATGGAGCAAAAATGGCCCGCATTTGTGGGAGTAGTTTGTAGTATAGTGTCCTATAGAAAATGTTGATTCTGAAAGGAAAGTAAAGGTTGTCTGACAAATCTGTTGAGGTGTACTCATTTATGCTGAGCACTGTACATACACTTATAGAAGACCAACACATCTATTCTTAAGAAAGCTAACATTTATCTGTAATGCTGTACACCACAAAATGGCCACTTAATCCCACTTATGGACTATAGGTTAAATCAAAGTACTTCTTGTCATGTTTCCACTAGGCTAATTTATGGTGTTTACTTGTAAATATCTGAATAATAAACAAATACAGCTTCATTAACGCACCTTTGCATGTTGGTGGATCCATATTCCAAGTTCCATTGTTTGTGCAGTGAATCTGGGATGGCCCATTAAGTTTGTTATTTGGATTTTTGCACTGAAGGTTTATTACATGACCTGGTGTATATTCTTCATCATACACGGTGGACAAAACTCTCACACTGTCATCCGTTATTGGGGGACATAGTTTGGCTGTAAAAAAATATAAGAAAGATTTTAGTATAATTCCAAACACTTACATACTTTTAAAAAAATTGAAAGCTTATGTAAAGAACATAGTGATAGTATTTCTTTTTGCATATCTTTTTGTTTTACAGCATGGAATGGTTGCATTCATGACCGCAGTATTCTGAAATTCTTGTGCACCTAGGAATCTGGTATATAAGCAGCAACTAGAGGACTATAAGTGGGTCCATTTAAAAAAAATAAAAGCATTTTGAATGCTTTTAAGTGCAGAGGAGGGATATGGGATCTTATAGACCTCAGATTTCTTCCTAAAGAGTACCTGTTACGTGCCTATTGCTGCCACAAAGGATGTTTGCATTCCTTTGACAGCAATAAAAGTGATAAAAATAAAATTAAAGCAACAGTTTACAAATAAAAAAAAAAAAAAAAATAATTAGAAATGTTTTTTAAAGTGCCCCCTTCCTCTTGTGCTCAGAGGCAAATGCACACGTCGGTCCCTTACACATGCAAACAGCGAATGTCCCACATATGTGAGGTATCACCGCAAACGTCAGTTCATGGGCAGTAATTCTAGCACTAGACCTCCTCTGTAAATCTAAAGTAGTAGCCTGTAGAAGCTTTTAAATTGTCGCCTATGGATAGTAAAATTTAAGTTGCTTGTCACCATTGCAGAAGAAGAATTTTAAAGTGTGATATGTTTGGTATCCATTTACTCTGCATAACATCATCTTTTATATTTAAAAAAAAAATTGGGTTATCATTTTTTTTTTAGAAATGAGGGGGGTGTATCAGTGCAAGCACTGCTGGAAGTCCTGGGTAATCTTGTTATGGGGTAATGGTGGTAGTTATGGCTGTTATATGAAGACCGTGGGGATCCGTGTGGCACTGAGGGCAAGGCTTCCAAATAGGCTGTAGCAGACTCTGTAGGTGAGAGAGGAGAGAAGCGCCTCTAAGTGCAATATGTCTCTTTATTAAAGTATATAGGTAGGAATACTCACATAAGTAAGGTAATTGTTAAGCAAAAACCATGGTTAACAGTAAGGTGGGTATCCATGGTGAAGAGCTGTCATCTGTTTGCGGTATGTAGAGATCAGCATACCGCTGGAGCAACGTGGTGGCTGGAGGGGAACAGCTGTGAGGCCGGCCGGCATGCATGTCCTCTCTCAGAGCCGGGTGGAACGCATGCTGGAATGCAGCGGCAGCGTAGCCATGATGACTTCAGGTACCCAAGGTGCACTGCGACGCGTTTTGGAGCATGCGCTGGACGTGGAAGGCGGAAGTGCGCTCCTTTTTCAAGCAGGGGGAGGAGGAGGTGCAAGGATCAATTTATAAGGAGCACAGGGCTAATTCATCAATTAACCAATGGGAGAGGGATACACATAATGGAGAGAACATATCAATGAAAGAAGTGATTTGCCATTGTCGCAAGGTGAAAAGGTGGAAAGTCATGGATATTCAGAAGTGTCAGAAGGGAAAAGAAAATACAAAAGGGAAAAGAGAATACAAGATGTAATGGAAAAATGTATAAGAATGTAAAAATTGGAAAAAGGTTAATAAAAATAAAGAAGAAAAAATGGAAAAATTTGAAAATTAGAAATGTTGAAAAATATGATCGATAAAAATAAGATCGATAAAAATAAAATAAGGATAAAAATCGAAATAAAATTTAAATTAAATTAAATTAAAAAATAGAAATGATAGATGTAAAAATAAAATTAGTAAAATAAAATAAAAATAAAATTGCAAAATAAAATTGCAAATGAAGGATAAAATGAAAATGAATATAAAAATAAATATAAAATAAAAAAATGGGGTAGACAGATATTAATTAATATATAACATTTAAAAATAAAGAATTTAAAAATTTTTAAAAAAATAAAAAATGTATTAAAAAATTAAACAAATAAAAAAGGGAGAGTAGTGTGGGATATGGGGATCACCTTGCAACATTGGCACATCAAAATGGGTACCAAGAGGGCAGATCCCCAACACACAACAGTACAGAGCCCTCAAACCAGGTCAGATTTATAACTAAATTCCACAACAACTTTCACAAAATGGAGTCCATCATCAACAGACATTGGCCGATACTACTACAGGACCCTCATTTAATAGACATTTTAGACAAAAAACCCAAATACACTTGCCGTAGAGCCACCAACCTTAAAAATAGGATTTCCCCTAGCAAATACAACCCACCCACCAACACATCCAACACACTTTGCCTCGTACCCATTGTCGGCATGTACAGATGCAATAAAACTCTATGCAATACTTGTCAATTTGTTAAACATGGCCAAAAAACCTTCACCACAGAAGGAAAAACCTACACATTCAAAGAATTTTAAACTGCTCCACCGAACATGTGATCTATTGTTTATCCTGTTCCTGTGGCCTCCTATATGTGGGGCGCACCATCAGACCCCTCCGGCGAGCACAGATGTCTCATTGAAGATGGTAAAGACAAAAAACACAGTGTCCCCCGCCATTTTCTGGAATACCACCAAAAATCCACTGACGGCCTACAAGTCTGGATTTTAGAATCCATCCCCAACAATCTTTCAGAGTCTGAACACTTCAATAAACTCTGTTCATAAGAAACCTATTGGATATTTATATTAGACACATTGTCCCCAGGTGGACTCAACGAGGAATTAGACATTAACACTATATTATAAACACCACGATTTTCTAATCCATAGTCAACCACCATTTTTATTCCTGGATCTTTCACTGATTCATTTTATCTTAATTTTTTCTTATTATTTTTATCTTCTTCATATTTTTATATTATTTTTATATTCATTATTATTATTATTTTTTATTGATTTTTATTTAATCTTTACCATATATTTTTATATTTATCATTTGCATGTACCATAATATTATATATACCAATATGTTTGTCACCAACACCATGTAACATGTACAAACCTCAGCCCACTCATTTTTAAAGAATGATCTCCTCATTAATGTATGTTTTTCTGCACACAGCTTACCTTAAAGAAAAACCTCAGCAGCATATAATGTACTTAGAGTGCAATGGTTAGGAATATGTCATACCAAGCGCAGCATACAGAGTGCGGTGGTCAGTAGTATGAACTGTACAACACAGTGTCTATTGTGCAGGTCCAGGAAAATGTAACTCACAGAGTGCAAGGGTCAGGAGAGCATAACAGAGAGTTCAGGGGTCTAGACTGCATAACACACAGACTGCAGGGCTCAGGAGTGTGAACTACAAACTGCAGGGGTCACAATGGCATGATGTAGAGAGTGCAATAATAAATTACAGTTTATTATTGTAATGCTGTGGGTTTTGCTGGTCTAGGAGTTAGTAATGTTTTATTAGACAAACACACTTTATTTTTCTTTAGACTCGCCTTTGACTTTAGAAGTCTATCAAATTTTATTAGCATTTCAGGTGTTTTTTAGAGGTTGATTGGACAGGTAATGGCCAGTTCCAAATAAACAACAAGGGCCTCTTCCCCTTGTTCCTCCCTCTTCACCTTCTTGGAACATGGAAGACCCCTTTAAAAAAAGAGGGCTCTCAGATACCAGACCCCTTAATTAAAAGGCACAAAGTACATTAAAGAAGTCCTACAATTTAAAGCCAGCATCAAACACATGGTTCAGCAATGCAGATCCTCTTTTCCACTTGCCTGACAATCTGCTGAGAATAAAAAAAACGGACCCACCGATATTTCCAATCCTGTTGCTTACTCCCCATGAATGCCATCTCCTGGTCCCCACAGCAGAATGTAAATAAAGGGGTGGGGTATCCCAGATGATGTAATTGACCAAAATGGACATGCCAGAATTTGATCGGTGACATCACAAGAGATTCCAAGCCATTGCTTTTTTCTAAGGGGACCCTTATTAATATCTATACCAGACGCTAATATAGGATAAAGATTTGTTAAAGATTAAGGGAATATCCATCTGCTTTCTTTACAAACAGAACAAAGCTAGCAGGAGCTGTCATTTAGCAAGTTAAAGCGCAGTTCCAGCTGATTTAAAAAAAATAAAAGTCAGCAGCTACAAGACCTGTCACGTGACTCAGAAGACTACGGGCAGGGAGGACAACTTCTGCTTCCGATTGCCTCAGGTGATCGCAGCAGAAGTGGGAGCAGGTAAATATCAAATTTGGGTACCAGCTCCCCCTCCCCGCTCCCCAAAGGTGCCAATCCTTAACTGGGAGTAGGAAACAATGCATTCAAGCGGAACTACCCCTTTTGGGTGGAGCTCCGTTTAAACAGCAAATGTTTTCATTGTTAATGTCAGTTTTGCTGTAGTAGGT